TACCCGATGGCAGCCCCTAAAGTACGTTTCATGACCAAAATTTATCATCCTAATGTAGACAAGTTGGGAAGAATATGTTTAGATATTTTGAAAGGTAAGTGTTAACTTTTATCAATATATGCTATTAAGATTACTCCTTTTTCTCTTAAGCATTCCATATTGAGAATCTGAACGTTGTAATCTTGCCTATTATATATAAAGACCAGGAAGGTCTGTGGGAATGAAATGCAGTAGTTCTGGGGCTGTTGTTTCATGCCTGATCATTCTGGGCCTGTTCTCTTCCTAGATAAGTGGTCCCCAGCGCTGCAGATCCGCACAGTTCTGCTATCGATCCAGGCATTGTTAAGTGCTCCCAATCCAGACGATCCATTAGCAAACGATGTAGCGGAGCAGTGGAAGACCAACGAAGCCCAAGCCATAGAAACAGGTATTTAATATCCATTCTCCTTCACACTACCTCCACTTTTTAAAACAAATAAACTACGTTTTAAAAAACCTCTTTTAGAGTCTTAACAAAAATAAAAAATAATATAAAGAGGAGTAAGTCAGATCCTGCTTCTAAGTATATGAGCACCTTTTAATGGATGTTTAAGCTCCACCTGATGGTCTGCTTCTTGACCCCCAAATTAAAGACTGCCTGTAATAGGGAGCTCTTCAACTCTTGTATAACCTATACCTGGTGCCTCAGATACTGAGTGTGTACTATTTATCTAGCAGGACATAGAGATAATGGAAAACTTTTTAACGCCTTGAGCTGCTTTGTATTTCATCTGATTAATAAGACTGTATCACTTCAGAGCTAGGGAGTTTGATATCATTGAGCTTCCTGCTACAGATTTTAACAAAATTAGTGGAGAGCATTATATATCTAGAAATGAAGGAGACAAGTCTTCTCATGATGTTGAATTTTGTAGAACTTCTGGATTCCACTCTATTGTTTTGGTAATTAGACATACATAGGCTTTCTGTCTGACCCAGATGACAGAAAAATGGCGTGAATTAACTTAATACTACTTAATTTTTATAGAGTTTGGAAAGTAACATTAAGCTAAGTCAAATAATAATTGAATGTTTGTTTTTGTCTGCAGCTAGAGCATGGACTAGGCTATATGCCATGAATAATATTTAAAATCGATCTGATCATCCAGTGTGCATCATTTCTCCTGTTCTGCCAAGACTT